TCTCTACCTTCCTAGACATCTAGTGCAATTCGGTTTGCCTGACAGTTCTTCTTACTCTGGCTCCTCCTGAAAACACTTTAAAATGTTATGACACATTGAATGTGAATGATTCCCCCACCTCGGCTGGGTCCCTGGAATCTGTGGTCCAGTCTACTTCTGAGTGGTCATACATGGGCTCACTTATTTTCTCAGATATCCTATTACATAGTCCAGCTATCTGCACAACTTTAAGGACAAGCTACTGTGATTAGGTTACATCCTGGAGCCAGGAGTGTTCTCAAAGAGAACATTATTAGAGAGGATTCTGGAATCTCACTGCATTCAAATTCCAACCCCAACAATTCTGAGCCTGTTTCCCATGTAACCCCTCTAAGTTCATTTTCTCAGCTGCAAACTAGTAGTCCCTGATTCAAAACCTCTGTGGAGAGCCGAAATAACATGCAACAGAGCTTAACCCAAAGCCTGGCCCAGGTCAAGCACCCAGCAAAGAGCATACTTTGTTGATACTAATTATTATTATGAGGGTATGTATGTGTCAGAACACATATGGTAGACATGTGCTCTGCTCACCGATGTAACTCTCTATTGCTTATTAACCTTCTTGATATTTCCTCTAAGCTTTTAAGATACAGAATTGATTCTGTGATCCCAGAACTCAGGATGAGAAGGAAATAGGAGGACTACCAGTTTGAGACAAGCCTGAGCTACATAGGAAGACCAACCCTGCCTCAAAAACAAGTTGATCTCTCTCTCTTTTTTTTTTTAACCTATAGCTTTCCACAAGACATGCTTTTATTGTTTAAAGTGAAATATGTGAACATGTTTGCAGTTTAGAGGAAGGCAGGCAGGCTGTGCTTTTGTTTTGAATAATTTATTTGTTCATTTAAAAAAACCACGTTTTTGAGGCAGAGTCTTTTTGTTTGTTTTGTTTTGTTTTGTTTTTGAGACAGGGTTTCTCTGTGAAAGTCTTGGCTATCTTGGAATTCACTCGTAGAGCAGTCTAGCCTCAAACTCATAGAGATCTGCCTGCCTCTGCCTCCCAAATGCAGGGATTAGCGGCGTGCGCCACAAGTAGCCAAGAATGATGACCTTGAACTCCTGATTCTCCTGCCTCCACTTTCCAGGGGCTGGGGTTACAGGTGTGCACTACCAATTACTGGGTAATGAACCAGAACTTCATGCATGCTAAGGCAAACAGCTGAGCCAAGAGCTAAGCCCTAGCCTAGGAAGGAAGGCAACATTTTGAACTTTTCTTACACAAATCAAAATTCTCCAAGATGGTTTTGTATTTCTTGTGTTTTTTTGTTGCTGTTTTCCAGTTTTATTTACTTACTTTGTTGGGTTTTCATACATGGCCTTGGCTGGTTTGGAATTTAATAGAACTTAATGGCCTCAAATTTGCAACAATCCTCCTACCTCTGCCCCCCCCCTCCCCAAATGTAAATTGTAAATTCTAGCAATGATAGCCTGGAGTCGGGTAAACAAGTCGTTATTCTGCTACCAGGGCTTCCTTTTAAAACCCACTGTCTTTTTTTCCTTCCCACCAGGGAAAGCAGGTTCAGTACCTGAGCAGAGAGATGTCTCCATAGTCAACATCTCCCTTTGGCCTTCAGCTGTGTCTGATGAAGCTGTCTCTTTGGCATGTATGCATGTCCTAACCTGTGGGCTGGCTCAAACAGAGAACTTCACTTGTATTTATTTCAGGAACATGTGATTTTATCTTAGGGACCTTAATGCAGCTGGTAATAACACCCACCCTCCCTCTGGATACACTGCATATTCTCTCCATTGTTAATCCTGCTCCCCGGTTGGGTGGCAGTTTTTCAAGTCTGTGCTGGAATTACAGGCCACTTTGTTTATGCAATCGCTTGAGAAGCCTAGCACCATTGATTTGCATCAGTGCCTCTGGAATAGCCTTTTGCCATCTCCTTAAAGATACTATCTAAGCTGTGAAATTCATTAAATGGCCCCAGAAATGGATCAGGTTATTTAACACAACATCCCTAATGGCACAATATCTCAGCTGTCCACACTGATAGCGAACATTGTCTTGGATAGCGTTATCAGCCCAGGACACCCGCTATGAATATTGATCCTGAGCTTGTTACAGCCATCACTTGCCATCAGGACAGGTCAGAGTTAGAACCCACCTAGCATCAAAGCAATTTAAAGACAGTACTCAAACAGAATTTTAATGTTCAGGCTGGGGGAAGAAGAGAAAAACAAAACAAAACAAAACACACACACACACACACACACACACACACACACACACAAAACCCCCAACAACCAAATCAACTCTATTCACAAAGAGATGTCTTACCATATGTGAACATATGTATTACATAGAAATAGCCTGGATAACAAATATGCCAGAACTCTAGTGGGTCAAGCTCATCTCCCAGTTGTGCCCAAAGGAAGGTTTCACTACCTTATGGTCTGTACAAAACAAGTGGCCAGAAAAAAGGCTCCCTGAAACTTCCTGCCTCCTTTGCCCCTCAGTGGAAAACATCCCCTGGTCTTTGGAAGTTTGTCTCTAAGCTGAATGAGTGAGACACCGCAATATTTCTCCCATGTCATTTATTATCCAGAGTCAAACACTAAGCAGGGTTTCTGAACTGTCACACTGTGTTGAACAGATATAGGAGAAATGGTAAGAAAATGAAGAGAGCAATCACAAGAAGGCATGCTTAAGGATCGTCAGGTTACAGAGCATGGCCTCTCCATGTTCTTGGATATTCTCTCCAAGTTGTTGCTTCCTGCCTTTTTTGGTCTCTTTTCTGTATTTAGCACCATAGAATTCAGAGGAAAAGATGATTCATTTGAAAGGAAAAACTATATAATTTAAACAACAACAACAAAAGTCTATGGAAGTGCAATGAAATAATCTACGTTCTGTCTGATCATGGGGGGGGGGGGGAGTGTAGAAGCTCTTTCCTGGTCCTTTGGTTTGGGATGTGGGTACCCTCTGGAATACTACCCTTCCCCCATTCTTGTGAAATGGCCTCAATGTTTCTTCCACAGAAAAGAGTAAGAGAAGGAATGTTTTTGCTATTCCTGGGTGATCTTAGGGAAATCTTTTCCCAGCTACTCTGAAAAACTATATGCATACATATAAAGGTAGACAGAATTGGGGTCAATAGGGGAGAGGAGAGAAAGAAGAAGGAAGACTTTAAAAAATGTGGGAACTAGGTGAGAAAGGGTTATCCAAACAGAAAACAAAGTATGTGCATTCCAGAAGGATCTGTTATTTGCAGGCATTGTCCCTGGGCTCGGCCTCTTGGTTTCTGGTTTGTCTTTTCCTCGAGTTTCACATGGCACATATCCCCTTTGGCAGGGGGTGTTCTGGAAGCTTGGGCTGGGCACTTCCTTCCCTTCACTTTGAAAGCACAATCCGTCTTTGCTTTAGGACTGGTGCTGGCTTGAATTTCGGCAAAGCTTTAAAGTCAGCAGGGAATAATGGTGTCCACCCCTGGGAGGGGCTGAAAGGTTTGAATGAGAAAAGCTACAAGGAGCTAGCCCCCACCTCCCCACCCCCACCCCGAGGATGCCTCTTTAATAACAGTTAGGATTAGTAGCCCCCAGCACTTTAGTGCGAATGAGTCCCCTCCTCTTCCTACTTCTTACCTGCTCAGACAATATTAATTGCTAAGACATTGTCTGGGAACCACATGGGGGCAAAGAAGAAAGGAGCGGCGGGGTCTGAGATGGCCCTGGGCAGGGGAGCTAAGTAAGGGACGCTACAGAATTTGCCGCTGAAATAAATGCCTAATGTTCACATCGGTGACAAAAAGAAGGAATGTACTATGGGTGTGGCTAGTGCAAGCTTTCCTTCACCGATAACGCTGTCTTTGCTGGAGATTTTGGGGCAGATGGGGCCATTTTAATCTTATCTCTTCTCTGATCTTAAATTCAAACCAGAGGGCATCTTTTAACCTTTTCCTTTTTGTGGCGGGGGAAGGATGGGGGTCAGAAGCAGAGTCAGTTTCTGATGCTAATGATGGAATCTGTGACTGTGAAGAAGTCCCGATGGGCAGCGAATATGGCACTCCGGGTCTCTGAAAGGAGGACAGCCACCTTCAGCCAAGCCACCTGGCCCGGAGCCGGCGACACCCCTCCTCCCCCTCCCTCCCGGCTGGGCACTGCCATCTTTCTATAATCCCCCTATGACCTCTGACCCTGCTGGTCTTCCGGGTGGAAAGACAAGTCTCCTGTTATTATTATTATTATTATTATTATTTTATTTATTTTGCCTCCATTTCCCAAGACAGAGGACGTGCAAAAAAAGTCCTGGTCCAACCCAGACTCTTGTCGACCCTGGTCAGATCATTGCTCATCTTTGAACCTCGTTTTCCCGGTCTTTGAAACCCAGACTGTAGTCCCAGGCCACGCCCACCTCACAGGGATGCTTAGAAAATCAAAAGAGAGTGAGAAAGCCCCAGGGCTTTGTAAACTGTAAACACACGGAGGCTTTAAAAATTCGAAGTAAATGGGCCTGAAGACATTACTGTGGCTCACAGATGGTGCGTGAGATACGCCAAGAATCATTGCGAAGCGATCAGGCCTGGCCTCAGTGACATCTTCAGGTCAAAGACAGATGGCAAGTGGTCCAAGAGAAATAAGTAAACTTCAGTCAGATAGATGTGTGTGTAGAGGGGATACCGGAGATGGAAGCCTTTCTCGCGCCCTTCACGAGTCTTCAAAGGATGGAAGGACCTTCACGCAGCGTGCGACCGTGACCCCTCCAATCCGGAGCGAGCCCTGGCATGCGAGGGTTCCTCTGGTCCAGGGTAGCTGCCACCGCGCCGCTCAGGATAGTCCCGAGGTAGCTGCAAACTCGCCCTGCACGTGGCAGGGGTCTGGCCAGCGCAAGTGCCAATCCGCAAGCAGCCCCTCGCTGCTCTCCCGCCCCGCCCCCTTGCCCCCCTCTCCAGCTTCTCTTGGCGGGGAAAATCCAGTTCTAGACTGGAGTGCTGTGACCGAATCACAACCGAAGGCAAGCCCGAGTGCACCCATCCTCAACCCCGCACGGCCGGCCTCCGGTTCGTGGGAGGCGGGCATGCTGGCATGGCAGGATGGCGGGGCCAAAGCGGCCCCTTCTCACCACAAGATTTCTTTCTCTGTTCTGGACATCTTGGATCCGCAAAAATTCACAAGAGCTCCGCTCCCGCCGGTGCGTCTAGCTGTCCGGGAAGCCAAGGAAAGTTTGGCGGAGGTGGAAGCAGAGAAGGACGCCAGCCCCGAGTCGCAGGAGACCCCCGGTAAGAATGCGAGGCGGTCGGTATCCGAGTGTGTGGAGCAGCCAAGTCTGATGAATGGCTGTTGGTGGCCTGGGAACTAGAAAAGGTGCACCCGCGCAGGTGCGAAGTGAAGCACCCTGCTTTGGAAAAGGAAAGAGGCAGGAATGAGGCTGAGATTCCAGGGCAGGTATGTGCCCTATTCCCGAACACCTGCTCGGTGGATGAGCGCCACAGCTCTGACTGGCTCGTACACCTAACGGAAATGTATTACGCTGTCCACGTGCTAGAAACTGGACTGACTAGGTTCTGGGATAAAGGTTATGAAAACTCCTTCCAAGTATATAGTTATCATTAACACCACTCCTATTTTATGGATGAGTCAACCGAGGCCAGGATTAGGTGCTTATTTTCAATCACTTGGAAACACCTGCAGAGCCCATGCCTTCACCTTTCCCGGACCTAACAAGTGACTAGGGGTGGGCAGACAGGAAGCTTTTGGTACTTTCTCTTCTAGACTATTCCATCTCATCTCTGAAGTTGGTGGACATCAAAGGAGAAGGGTTCAGGAAAGTTTGTGGCTGGAAGGATTTAAGACAGAAAGATTCATGCCAGTGGAACATGGGCATGGGATTCCTTGGGGGAACTCTGAAGGTCTAGGGACTATGGTCCTGGGGGAAGCTGTATCCAGCGCAGCCCCCTTTCTAAGTTTGGCAGTGATTGTCTTGGGCCCGGAAGCCTCTGGTGGCCTGGCTTGAGTCCTGGCCGCGGGCCTGGATTAATTGTTTGGATGCTCTCTCCGTGGGACAGCATTCCCTTCCCCCTAACTCCTTGATCGATATTCTATTACTGGCGACTGCATATCTCCTACCCGCAGCTTGCAGGTACTGACTTCAAACCCCCTTTCCCTGTCTGATCCTAATATTGTTCGATTAAAACTTACCTTTAATAGATGACATCTATCGATCAGGCCCCGGACAAATCTGAAACTCTATTAACACGGCTGGAGAGAGAAGATGGGAAAGGGGGAATTTCTCTTTTTTGGAGGAGGGGGACTTAATAACCTCTTTTTTAATTGCTAGGAGTCGCGCACCAAAATAGGCTTCTAGGGGACTGGGGAGATTCAATAGTAAACACACTTGACATTCCCATATAGTAATGCACAGCAGACAATTCTCTTCTGGGCTTGATAAAGTCACTATATTATACTTTGTTGATATGGGGTGTCATCCAACATGTACTTTTTGGGTGCCTACTTAGATGGCAGATTTGTAAAGGGCAAGAGAATACCTACTGCACTCCTGAATCTGCTCCCTAAGATGTGCGGATTGGGGACAGAAGGGCGCAGGCAAAGTGGGAAGAGTGGTAGAACTGCGAGTTGGATCAAGGGGAGAAAAAGAAGGTTTGGGGGATGCGGACGGGTAGAGTTCTGGTCACCATGCCCTTCTCTCTTAGATGCTGTGGGCGGAGGCACTAGCCCCGCGTCCCCCCTGGAAGGCTCCGAAGCAGAAGAGGAGGAGGAAGCAGAGGATGCGGGGCGCGCGCAGCGGCGGGAGATGCCGGAGCTCTGGCAGGGGGTTCATGAAGGCTCTCCAGAGGCACGCGAGGTGGCAGCGGGAGTGGGCGCTGCGGACCGGCTCCCAGGGTCCCCCGGCTCCCCCGGTTCTCCGCGGCCGCGGCGCCGGCGATCTGAACCTAGCTGCGCCAAGCCACGGCGCGCGCGCACCGCCTTCACCTATGAGCAGCTAGTGGCCCTGGAGAACAAGTTCCGAGCCACGCGCTACCTGTCGGTGTGCGAACGCCTGAACCTGGCGCTGTCGCTCAGCCTCACCGAGACGCAGGTCAAAATCTGGTTCCAGAACCGCAGAACCAAGTGGAAGAAGCAGAACCCGGGGGCTGACGGCGCAGTGCAAGCAGGATGTGGTACGCCGCAGCCTGGGACATCCGGAGCGGCGGCGGGGGCCTGTGGCAATGGCACCGGGAGCAGTCCTGGTCCACCGGTTCCGGGCGCTCTGCCCTTCCAGACTTTTCCCACCTATCCCGCGACCAATGTCCTCTTTCCCTCCTCCTCCTTCCCGCTGACTACAGCCGCCACAGGGAGTCCCTTCACTCCTTTTCTTGGGCCCTCCTACTTGACCCCTTTCTATGCCCCACACCTATAAACCCGGTACTCCACCCGGAATGGGATTCCCGAGTGATCAGTATGATGGTGTGGACCCCTGCTTTACAGAGGGGCACTGACCGCCCCCTCCTGGTGTGCTGGTGTCTGTGTGCCCCTTCCCTCCAGATGCTGATGAGCCACCAGAGGGCGAAGAGAAGCTGGACTCCAAATCACACAGGGCACTGAGGGGCCGAGAAAGTGTCCAGACAAAGCCAACTTGAAATCTTCCAGCTTTTGGACATCACTCTTCACTTTCACTTACTTCCAGTGCTCTGTTTTTAAAAAGTCTGAATAAGGGTTCCCAGGATGGAGATCAGGGGGAGCCAAGATGCCCTGGGCACCAGCTATTAGCACCAAAGACTGAATATTTCAAGGTTCCAGTACATTCAGAGGGGAAGAATTTTCCTTCCTAGTGGTGGAATCGGCTCAACACAGTACTTCCTCTTAAATCCCGAACAAGGCTGGAGCAAGTTGAACCCAAGGCAGATGCAACTATCAAACGGACTGTTTTCAAAGATGAGTAACAAATATGTCTTCTAGATCTTCATCTGAGATTCAGGCTTGATTCAACTACTGATACTAACAGGCTACCTGGCTTTCTGTGTGCACACTCCACGTGTACCAGCAAGTTGTTCAGCGTTGTGCCTAGACTAACCTGGGAAAAGACACAACTCTCTTGCCTAGCAGGTTTGAGAACAGCTTGCGCCCTACAGCAGCGCCCTAAATGCACGAAAAGGACAGTAAGGGGAGTGATGAACCAAAGGCTATGGTGAAGTCTGTATGTGAGCTGTTGTGATGTGCTCATCTGTCCATCCTACACCTTCATGGACTTTTGGACTGACAAGTTGGAGCAGAGCAAACTCCACCAAATGCAGTCAGGCATTTGACAACATTGTCGATAGCACAAATGTAACATACTTAGAATGCCTGAGATTCTGCCTTGAAAACAATTCTTGTTCTAGTTCTCCCCTATCCCTCATGTGACAATGAACAAGCAAAAAGTAAGGGGCTGGGAAAGAAATACTTGCCAAATGTGGAGAGCTGCTGTTGGGAATGGGCTCAAGGATACAGACATTCTAACTGCTGTTTTCTTTCTCTGTTAAAACAAAGCAGAGGTTGTTTGTGAAGTTCCCTTGCCAGTTTTATTTGAAATAATAGTTTTCTGTGTTATTTGGTCTTGTAGTCACACCTCAGAGACCCAGATGACCCCATCTCTACCCCTTTGTATTCCATCCTTACTTTTTTAATAGCTTGAGGTCAGCCAACACCTAAATGGATACTGTATTCCTTACAATTGCTTGGTAGCATGTACCATTAAAAATAAAACTTAATGGTCAACAGCTTTAAATTAAAAACACATACTGGCATTATGAACATTACAATCTTGAAATAATTGGCTTTATTATTATGAGGAATGATAGCAAATATCCCTCCTTTCTTTAACTTAAATGAAGACTTCATGTTCTGTGACTCAATCTGTCAGTAAGAATTATTTCATTGTGTATTTGATAATTAGACTTTTCCCCTTCCATGCTGAAGAATAATGTCCCCAAACACTGCCTTGTAACTTCTCAAAGGACAGTTGGTGCCAGATGAGATTAGAAGTGAAGTTACTACAGTAGGGAATTTAATTTTATTCATGCTGGTAAACTGTCCTCCAGTGACCACTTGTTTTCAACAGCAGCATCCCAGGTCTGTGGACAGATGCTTCAAATGCTCAAAGATAAGATCTGGACAAGGAGGTCAGATTTCTGAACTAAGTGGGAAATACTTCACTCCAGTTCTCCCAGGGTTCAGAATCATAGACTTCAGAGGACGTAGAGACCTAGCCTTGTGCTGTCGCCAAAACCAGTCCTCATTCTACACATTGTCAGAGAGTGACATCCGAAGTGTGTGACTTTGGACTTCTTTAAAAGTAATGATCCAAGTAACTCCTTAGACTTGTTTTTATTGACGTGTTGGCCCAATAAATTCTTTTTGTAATCATTTTAATTAATTACTCCTTGCTCATTATTAGCAAATATGTGCCCCACTTCTCCCAGCTAACATTAACAGCTAATAATACTTCCTTATACATCCACGCTAGATGTACATGAAGTAAGTACAGTTGTAGGCAATTTTTACAGACACATTCAGGGGCCATTCTAGCAAGAGCAAAGCATTTTTTAAAAAAGTTTAATTTCTGGTTTACTAATTAAATCAACATCTGCCCATCAGGTTTCTAGGACATGAGTATCCTAGCTTTGTTTCACAAATTCCTAATATTTTCCTCCAACCCAAAGAGCCTGGTAGACACCTTTTTAAAGGTCTAACCATTTACTTGGTCATAGATTTCTATGGATAAAAGCGACAGATTTTGACTCTCTTGAAGCCATGTAACCAGGGAGCCTTTGAAAAGAGGGAATGAGAAGGGATACTTCTCATGTTAGGAGGATCCCAATCCATTGGACAGGTACTGATCAATGTTTTTGTGTTTTGTAGGAAGAGCATGAGGCAGAGTCTTACTATGTGAGACTATATTTTCCTGTCAAGGAGCTCACTATGTAAATAAACCAGGCTGGCCTAGGGCTCACAGGGATTCCTCAAGCTGTGTGTCTGAGCTGTTTTAGAAGTTAACATCAGCCTGGTCTTCAAGAGCTAGTTGCAGGACAGCCTCCAAAGCCACAGAGAAACTTTGTCTCCAATAACAAACAAAAAAGTAACATCAGCCAGCCTTGGTGGCATATATCTGGAAGGCTGAAATGGGAGGATCTTCATTAGTGCAACTTTAGACTGGGCTATATTTTGAGTTTCAGGCCATCTTAGACTACAGAGTTAGAACCTCCCCCCCTCCACAAAACCCAACCAACCCCCCCAAAAAAAATTGTCTCTCAACCGCCTGGCATTTAATTCTGCTGGGAGGATAATGTAAGAAGTTCAGTAAATGCTGGATACACTTAAGAGGGCAATGCCATTACACAGTCTGTACACAGATTCAAGGAAAGAAAGAAACTCAGCCCTCCAGAACTAAGGGAAGCTGGAAGGTGCTAAAATAGGCAACCAAGAAGACACAAGTGGGTCACACCAAACTCTTCCTGTTTCCCTCAGGACATGGTTCACCAGGATCTCAGCTAAGGTGGGAAAGCATAGTTCATTCATGGCCTCTGATCTCCGACAGAGACCTTTGAAAATTTATATGGAAAGCATTTAACTTAGTGCCTGGTAGAATGATGTCATTTTATCGGGAAAAAAAAAACTTAAAAGATGTTGGTCTTAGGGGAGCTGATGTGGTTCAGTGGTTAAAGAAGCTATCTAGTATGTGTAAGGAAGGCCCAGGGTTCAGTCTTGACAATTGATATGCCTAATCCCACCGTTTGTTTACAAAATATTTATTTATTTTTTGTATAATGAACACTGCAAGTAAGTGAATATAGTAGATGTGTATAAGTTGGAGTACTTGGAAAAAAGAGTTGTTTTGTTTGTTTGTTTGGTTTTTCAAGGCAGGGTTTCTCTGTGTAGCCTTGGCTGTTCTAGAACTTTCTCTATAGACCAGGCTGACCTTGTTCTCAGAGATCCACCTGCCTCTGCCTCCTACATGCTGGGATTAAAAGTTCTTCACCACAACACCTAGCAAAAAGATTTTATTTTATGTGTATGAAAGTTGGTCTAAACAAATGTCCATGCACCATATGTGAGCCTATAGAAGACAGAAAAGGCATCAGAACACCTAGAGTTAGAGTCACAGATAGTTGTGAGCTGCCATGTGGGTGCTGGGAATTGAACTCAGGTCCTTTGGAAGAGCAGCATGTTCTCTTAACCATGGAGTTATCTCTACAGCTTACTACATCCTCTGCACCCTTCTCATCTTCTTCAACAGAGACTGATATAGCCTATACTATGTAGCTATAGTTTGAACAAGGTATATATACAAGGACAACTTTGAAATTTCCTTTAATTATAAAGCCAGACTCACAGAGTTCATATTCTATTTGAGTGTGTCTGGCCTGACTTCTTTTTGCTCAACAGTATTAGTGTCTTCCATGTTGCTTTGCGTAGCTATAGATCATCAGTGATTCTCAACCTTTCTAATGCTTTGACCCTTTAATGCAGTTCCTTACACTGTGGTGGCCCCCCCAACCATAAAATTATTTTTGTTGCTGCTTCATAACTGTAATTTTGCTATTGTTATGAGTGATAATGTAAATCTGATATTTGACCCCTGTTGAGAAACACTGCTGTAGATTCTTCCCTTTATAACTGGTAATTTTTTTTGTAGATTGAATGCTTTAACTTACTATATATTCTACCATCACTAGGAATTTTCAAACTTTCCAATTTGAGGCTGTCATGATATATCCAGTCCTGAACCTGTCCTTGATACATGTAGCTTCGTGTTGCCTTTGGTAATACATCTAAGTGTGGGGTCCCTGTGTATCTGCATACACAGTCTAGATATAGTAGGAATTGCCAGTCTTCTTGTGTGGTGAGTTTCATCTCTACCTGCGGTGACTGAGCCCTCCAGGGTTCATCATGCATTCAACACTTCATTTCTGGTAGTGCTAGATAAACCTAGATTTTCATGCATACTAGAGGAATGCTCTACCATTGAGCTACACTCGGTTGCCTTTTTCATACTACTGATCCTATTATAAGGTAAGGACAAGTGACTTGTTTGGTTTTAATTTTCATTTCCTGGAGAGAAACGACTGTTGACACAAATGCCTTTGAGCCACTTGTGTATCTGTTTTGGTGAAGTGCCTGGTCCAGTGTTTAGCCCCTCCCCTATCAATAAAAACAAATGGAGTCTTGGACTGGAGGTGACGGACAGGTTCAAGGTTGCATAGCTGATGGAAAAACTTCAGAGGTGGGCCTGATGACTCGAGGATGTGCCACCAATCATATAAAGTATTTGATTAAAGAGCTGGGGATATAGCCCAGTAGCGTGCCTGCCTAGCCTGCATGGAGCCCTAGGTTCATTATCCAGAACAGAAAAACAATTGTGGTTAAAATATTTGTAAATAATTTGAGACCTATGTGGCTTATTCTACAGCTGAGGTAAAGTGTCAGCGTGGAACTCAGTTCACACTCCATACCAGTCCACTTTCCCACAGCAGTGCATGAGAGCTTTGGCTTCTTATGCTGGCAACACTGGTTATGTTCTCCTCATCTTGCTT